TTTTCATAATAGTGTTATTAATAATTTTTCTCAAAGAGTTTCAATACTTTGAACGATGTCGTCACAACTGCATTAAAACAAAAATTTACGAGAATTTGAACTTTTGAAGATGGTGCAGTTTGTATTCAGATTACTGATAACAGTGGTCAGGTCTGTGCTGTGGTTAAGAAGAAGTAACAAGAGGCCCAAGGACCTTAACGGTCACCTGAGTACAATACAACAATTTAGAGGATCCATAAACTGATAAATGAAGCTTTGTTGCCCAAAAGCAAGAAAAATAGTATGATAAGCATCAACAAAATAATTGGTATAGAATCTATCTGTCCCCCATTTATCACAATTTATTTACCATGCAGACTATTAACAAAATGTCTATTTTTAACCCCATATTATTACTTCTCACAATGGTCTCTCTTGGCCTTTGAAGAACATTAAAAAATATAAGTTTTTTTGCCTCTCTTTTATTCATCTATTATTTCCAAGTCTACCTGATCATTAAAACTATGAAAGAACTTTTTGTATTATACAATAAATATTCTTGCATAATTCTCTTATTCTATTAACCTTTCAAATACATTATATACAGTGATTAATTATCAAAGGTAAATGGCAAAGGGGAATAACTTTGCTGAGCAGAATACAAGTTCATAGAGCCCTGGCCAGGACCAGAACACTTGACTAAATAATCCAGGTGTTCAAAATTTTGTTAAAAATACCCTTACATATTAAAATTTTATTCTGTTTGCCTTGAATATGCCCAGAAGCATAGAAGATTTTCAAAGAAATGCATTTTCACTATTTTATTAAATAAATAAAGCCCCCCCCCCCTTACACCAGAACATCTTACCCAGGGGTCATAAACTCACAATTCTGGAAGAAGCACCTTGCTCATCATAACTATACACTTGTTTCTTTGCTTTATTACCAGCAGTAGAAAAATATTTTGAAAGAAGTTATGCATTTTCACTATATAATCAATAGAGCCCCCCCCCCCCCTTTCACCTGAACCCCTGACCCAGGAGCGATGAATTTCACAATTTTGGAAGAGGCATTCTTCCTTATCATAACCATGCACTTCCTTTGTTTGAATAATACCCAGGAGAAGAGAAGAAGACTTTGAAAGAATTTATGCATTTTCCCTATATAGTCAATACAGCCCCGCCATATCTCAAAAACCCGTCACCCAGGGGCCACGAAATTCACAATTTCTGAGGAGGCAGCCATGCTCATCATAACTATGTACTTAGTTAATTTAATATCCAGGACAGAGAAGAAGATTTTCAAAGAAATAATGCATTTTCACTATATACATCAATTGAACCCCACCCTAACACCTGAACCCATGACCCTGGGGCCATGAAATTCACAATTTTGGAAGAGGCAACCATGCTCATCATAACTATGCACTAAATTAGTTTATTTAATACCCAGGAGCAGAGAAGAAGATTTTCAAAGAATTAATGCAATTTTACTTTAATCAATAGAGCCCTGCCCTAACACCTGAACCCATGACCCTGGGGCCATGAAATTCAAAATTTCTGAAAAGGCAGCCATGCTCATCGTATCTATGTTCTTAGTTAGTTTATTTAATATCCAGGAGCAGAGAAGAAGATTTTCAAAGAATCAATGCATTTTCACTATATATAATCAATAGAGCCCCACCCTAAGACCTGATCCCCTGACCCTGGGGCCATGAAGTTCATAATTTTGGAAGAGGCATTCTTGCTCATCATAACTATGTACTTAGTTACTTTATTTAATACCCAGGAGCAGAGAAGAAGATTTTCAAAGAATTAATGCATTTTCACTATAAAATCATTAGAGTCCTGCCCTAAAATCAGAACCCCTGACCCTGGGGCCATGAATTTCACAAATTTGGTAGAGAGCTCAATGCTTATTACAATTCTGCCAACAGTTTGACTGCTTGATGTCCAGGAGTAAAGAAGAAGATTTTTAAAGATTGCACTAATTTTGATGGTTTTAGCCCCACCCCTCAGGCCCCAAGGTGGGCAAGGGGCCATAAATTTCACAATTTTTACTCCCCTTCACCCATAGATGCTATATGCCAAATTTGGTTGAAATTGGTTCTGTGGTTCCAGAAAAGAAGCTAAAAATGTTCAAAAGTTCACGACCAACACTCAACGAACGACGACGGACGAAAACAGATAGTAATAGGTCACCTGAGTGACTCAGGTGACCTAATAAAATATATATTGTATGTGATTTATTGGAGATAAGGTGGATTAATCAGATCTACTGAATTTATTGTCATGTTTTTCTTCACTGGAGACAAGTGAAGCAAAACTGTAATCAAAATCAAATTATCCCTTCGTTTCTCGGTAGTTACATTGTGATGACTTCCTATTTCTTTGTTCCCTTCGGTTCTCAGCAGGTCATGTGACCTAAAGTGTGTATATATACGGAGACGGTCGGGTTGTTTGTGGCAGTCTGTTGCTGACGACTGGCTTATAAAGACGGTCTAGAACAGAAGAGCTGAACATGGTAGGTACTGCAAAGGAATCCTTGAATAAAGTCTTACGTGCCTGAATTAGGCTTTCGGGACTTTGGTTGGTTATATATATTTATAAAAAGTACCTTTAAACATTTGTTTGGCTGAAGGCAAGACGCGCTTCAGTCCTTGGAAGGCGCGTGTGCTCCCGAGAAACGAGAGGGATAGTGTACATATTTCTAATTTAAATTTGTGATTGAGAAAATTGATTAATTCTTAAATTGTTCAGATAGAACAGCCGAATCCCATAAAAGAACCCGGAAACGTTACACAAGCAGTTGAGCCCTTATGGAGGCCAGGATTTCCTCTGATATTTTTGACAACATCACAGAATGCAAATATAAGTAATAATACAATGATATTCGGTGAACATGGTGTTATGAATAGCAATTGCTCTGCTTGCATATATATTCCATAATGCTTGCTAGCAATTGCTATTCAAAACACTATGTTCACTGAATAATCGTCGTTTATTTCTTAAATGTTAAGATTTTGTAACTATGTCATAGCTACAGCAGGGACATAAGTGTTTGTCATGTCCATCTTTTGAATTTCGGCACCAAATCAGACTTAAAAAATCATTGATCTGCATCAGTCTTTTTGTACCTCTACCTTTTTTTTTACCTTAACCTCACTTTTCTTAATTTTGTGTATAGCTCAGTTTCAAAGAAACTATTTAAGATAATGATATTTTTATCCACAATTTTATGCTGATGCATATTGATGAACTGCACCACCATTTTTGGACCTTTACCCGGACTTCACTTTTCTTTTACATGTGATTAACTCAGTTTCAAAGAAACTATTCAAGATATTTTTATCAATAAAAATTATCAAACTCCATATGTTAATACATATTGATGAGAGCTATTTAAAAGCGATGATGGAGATGAATAGTGAGTATTTGGGAGGATGCAATGCTTGGATGCAGTACAAAACTTAACTCTTTTTGAGAAAAGTATTTTAAACTTTATTCATTCCTTATTATTCCATGACAAACACGATACCACTGGACAGGTCCAGTCCAAAGACTACTTCTACCTACGTAGCTATTAATAGCTACCTAGGTATTTAAACCTACCCAAAGTAGCTATTTTTACCTACTTTTTGTATTACTTGCATTTTGTGGCCAAACGGCCAAACGACCGAACGGCGCAACATGGTGAGTACCAAATTTCTTGATACAGTTACACTGATTATGAACACAGCAAAAGTTTAGCAAAAAAATGATTACTTCGTTAATTAACAATTTTGCATAGTAATTAATGCAAAATTGTCAATTTATGATGTAATTATTTTTTTGCCTAAATTTTGTCGTATTCATCATCAGCGTGACTGTATCGGAAGTTTCTATCGGCACGACGGTCGTGCCGATTATTTTTGTTAACCGCATGACAGTCGTGCTTATTACAGAACTTTCTTATCCACACGACACAAGAGAGATAACTCTATTTAATATTGTTGGCGGAAATATGTACAACGAACTTATACTTTTCACCAAAAACTTTAATTAATCTAAAGTAGAAGGGATGCACTTAATACATAGAATAAATTCTAACATTCATTTTTGCCAAATTTTCTTCATCGTGTCTCTGTGTAATAAACATTTTATTATTCGTCCTCTGTATCATCTCTTGGGCATTTCTAACATTATTTTGATTGGAGCAATTAAAAATAAATAAAGATATTTTCTCTCAATAACATTCTTTCCTTTTTTATGGTCTTTATATTCTTTCTCCATACTTTCTCTCTCTCAATTTAAATAAATAAATTAAATAAATTTTATATATATGACCATCTTTAAAAAATGTTTGCTTGCCCTCTCCCGATTAAGGATAAAAAAAAACTTCAAGTGGGTAGGTATAGGTAGGGGCAAAAAAAAAAAAAAAAAAAAAAAAAAAAAAAAAAATTCAAAATCACCTGCAAATATGAAGTTAAAATAGTTATTACTGAATAATTGTTTTCTGAAGGTCAAAAAACGTTTTGAATCAGACCGTATTTAGTCTTTCGGTAAGGAGTGGGCAAAAAAAAAAAAAAAAAATAAATAAATAAAAATAAAAATAAAAGATGGTCTAATCAAGTGTATAATATAATATATAAACAGACTAAGTTTTCATTGTTACAAAAATATAATTAATATAAATTCATTTCAAAGCTTGTCGTGCGAATAACCTCCATAATTCGCAAGACTGTCGTGCGGATAAGTTTAGCAATCGGCACGACCGTCGTGCGGATAACATCGGTAATTAGCACGACCGTCGTGCGTAAAGCCTCGGCCGACTGTATCAACTATCAAGAAATCTGGTACTCACCATATTGCGCCGTTTGGCCACAAAATGCAAGTAATACAAAAAGTAGGTAAAAATAGCTACTTTGGGTAGATTTATTAATTAAATATCTAGGTAGCTATTAATAGCTACGTAGGTAGAAATAGTCTTTGGATTGGACCTGCTGGATACTGTATATTTGCCACATACGTCAGGATACTAACCTTAGCAAGGTCGGTCTACATTCTCCAAGCACTCGTCATATTCTCAAATCTTTCTCGGCCAAATCTTTATTCGCGGCAATTTGACCCCTTTAGACAAACATTTGAAACATTTGAAACATTTTATTCACTTTAAGGCCTCACATGAGGCATAAAAGTACAAAAAGAAATAAATCAACAATGAAAAGGTAACAAATGAACAAAGGATTAACATTTATACAATATTAATTTAGAGGTATTGGAAGGAATTTCAAGAGTGAAATAAAGACATTACAATCTTACAAAATTTAGCCAAGCCAATTAAGGTAAATTTATCATCACTGTTAAACAGGTCAGCAAAACTATTGATATTTTTCACTTTGTAAACTTTTTCAGGTATGTACTTTCTTCTTTCATCATTGAAAAAATTGCAATTAAAAATATAGTGAAATTCATCTCCAATTTCTCCAACACTACTGAGATCACATTATCTATCTGCTCTATCTATATCTAAAAACCTTCCACATTCGATAGGTAATCTGTGACTAACACATCGAAATTTGCTTAAACTATAAACAAGATCAAAGGGTAACAAAGAAAAATATTTCTCTAGACCAAAGTTTGTTTTGTAGATCCTATAATTAACACATTTAGGAGAATTAAAAATATTCAACTTCCAGTCTGATATAAAAGTTTCTTTACATTGGTCTTTAACCTTTTTAGATAAGCAAACATTTTTTGGAACAAATTGATCTTTCCAATAATTTCCGAAACCATATTTGATCAGTACGTTACTGACATGTGACAACCACTTGAATTGGAAAATGTCCTCTTTGTCAAGATTATACATAATTTCATATAACATTCGAGAGATCTTTACATTTTTTCCAGAAACAATTCTTTGCCAAAAGCCAACCATCCTGGCATTTATGGATACAGACAATGGCACTCTACCTAGTTCACCATACACAATATCATTATGAGTAGATTTTTTCACTTTTATTATATATTTACAGAATTCTAAATGTAATGACTCAATAATACTATTGTTCTCGTATCCCCAAACTTCTGAACCATACAGTAAAATAGGAGCAACCATTGCATCGAACAACTGTAATAAAATATCAACAGGCAGACATAGCTTTCTAGCTTTACTTAAAACACTAAACATAGCTTTCCTTGCTTGTTGCACAAGTCTTAATTTATTCTTCTGAAAGTTACCCTTCCTTGAAAAAATAATGCCAAGGTATTGAAACTCTTCTACAGTTGATAATTTCTCACCATTGTACATGAAAAAAGTATTTTCAGGTTGTCTACTTTTTGAAAATATTACAACATTTGTTTTTGAAGCATTAACTTTGAGATTCCAAGTTTCACAGTAAAGATACATAGCATTCAGGGCAGACTGTAACTCAGATGCAGTTTCAGCAAATATAACTGTGTCATCAGCATATAGTAGCAAATACAACTTAAAAAACACCTCAATATCATCATTATCAAAAAGTAAATGAGATATTTTACCAACATCAGTGAGCCCATTATATGCATGGGACAAGAAATCAGTCAAATCATTAAGAAATAATGAAAACAAAAGGGGAGATAGATTTTCACCTTGTCTCACACCAATATTACACGTAAAAAACTCTGAGCATTTCGCACCACTTCTTACACAAGATTTGGCATTTTTATACAAGTTCTGCAAAACATTAAGCATTTTACCATTAATATTACTGCGCAGAAGTTTCTGCCAAAGTAAAATTCTATTAACTGAATCAAAGGCTTTTTTATAGTCAATAAATGCACAATATAATTTTTTACTCCTGGCTAAATACAAGTCGATAAGACACTTCAGGTTAAAAATATGATCTACAGTTCCGTATCCTTTCCGAAAACCTGCCTGCTCTTCACAAAGAATACCAGAATTTTCCACGTAACAGGATAGCCTATTATTCAAAATACATGTAGTTTCCCAAAACAACTCAGTATAGTTATTCCTCTATAGTTGTCTGGGTTTGCACGATTACCTTTATTTTTAAAGATTGGGCATATTATTCCCTTAGCCCATGATTCAGGTATAATTCCACTTTCAAAGACAATATTGAAAATTTTGACAAACACTGGCATCAATTTACTAGTGGAATTCTTCAAAAATTCGTTGAGTATCATATCACTACTACATGATTTACCATTTTTCAATGATTTAACAGCATCGAAAACCTCCTTTTCAGTAATATTTTGGTTAATCGTTGAATTATATTCATATAAATTATGTGGCAAATCAATATCAGAATCTACTACAGAGTTGTTTAGTTCCTTGAAATGTTTATAAAAGGTATCTAAAGCTACGGTATTAATAATACCTTTACCTCTCTCGCAATTTTTATTTAATAGAGACCAATATGCTTTCGGATCAGTTGAACGTAGTCCACGCAATTTACATATAAAAGACTTTTGGTATTCCTTACACTGTTTTGCAACGTCTCTTATATTGTCTACTCTTAAAAACCATGTCACTATAATTATTGTCGGTACGCACTTTTTGGAAATATTTTTTGGCTTTACGATATTCTCTACGTTTCGTATAACAGTCACTATTAAAATACTTCTTAGAACTTACTTTGGTTGTTTTGTTACATGTACTAAAATTTTTTTTATACTCAAAAATCATACTTGCTTTATCAGCTGCAGCTGTGATGATACAATTACAATCATCAACTAGACTATTAATTGAATCATAATCAATATTAAGGGGGTCAACATTCTCCAGTTTGCATAAAAGGTCATCCACTTGATCTATACTAATATTTTCTATAAAAGATGCAGCATTGTCCCCTACCCAACGGGGCTTTAAACCAATAACTACCTCAGAATTCACTACGGCATCACCTGAATCATTAATACATGTTTTACTGTAACTAGGAGAGAACAGTGTACATAAAGTTAAGCTAATTGGACTATGGACATCACTTAAAATTGGGTCAAAATCATGAACAATAAAGTTCATGATATTCTTAAACATAATAGGTGACACAATAGCATAGTCCAATACAGAGTTATTACAAGTAGTTCGACCAATACCTTGATCGGAGCCAACACGACCATTTACAAAAAAGAGGTTACAATTACCACAAAGTTGTAACAAACGTTTGCCATAATTGTCAATATGATGCCCGTCTTGTGAACTTCTGCTAACTGGTATGTTACAAGACTCTAAAATTTGAAGTTCATTGTTGGATACATCATCCGATGTGATATTGCATGAGTCAAGAATATCCTTATTAATATCAACAAATTCTTTACAAGTGCTTGTGTGAGCATTAAAATCACCTAGTAAACAAAAATAATCATTGTTTATGTCAACATTTTCAATTAAGAAAGTTTCAATATCATTGAACAACTCAATATTGCTATAAACACTACTTTCAGGTGGAATGTAAACAACACCAAAAAATGTTTTTTTTTTTAAAAATAATGAATCAACAGAAAACCATAAAACACAATCAGAACATGCAGATCTACCTTTAACAACACTGACATATCCAAGAAGGTTTTCACGTATAAAAACACAAATACCACCAGAACGTGCTTTACAATTGACCCTGTTCACTTGTGATAACAACTTGTATCCGTCAATATTAATGTTATCATAAAAATCTAGTTTTGTTTCAGTGAGGCAAACAATATCATAATTATTTATGAATTCAACAAAATCAGGATTTCTTAATTTAGAAACAATACCGCAGACATTTAAAGAAAGTACATGCACACAGTTGGAACATTTTCTGCAAGTTTTATTTTTGTTTTGAGCTGAAATGTCGATCCCGATAATTATTAATACAATCAAAGTACTGTAATGTATGGCATGTCAAACTTTGCAATATTCGATCTTTTCCATTTATATTGTTTATCATTTGTATTGTATAATTTTTTATTTGGATTGTTAAATTGTTCAATTTTCCATTTGTATTGTATAATTTTTATTTAGATTCTATAATTTTCTATTTGGATTTTATAATTTTCCATTTGGATTAAAATATTTATTTGTGCTCGATATTTTCCATTGTATTGTAAAAAAAAATCATTTGTATTGTATAATTTTTTATTTGTATTCTATATTTTCCATTTGCATTGTATATTTTCTTATGTGTATTGTATATTTTCTTATTTGTATGCAATAATTTTTCATTTGTATTGTATCCGAGGATTGTTTATTAATTTATTTCATTACAAAGGATTTCATTGGTCAAGTTTTAGTCTGCTTCAAAACGAGCGAGATGTTTCAGGTGTCCAACACAAACTTAGCCAGTACGGATAAGTTGCGTTCGCCCTAGATAGAATGTTCTATCGTTAAAATGATAAATGTCCTACGGACCCGGTTTAACGATAGAATGCGTTCCGTGTATTGTCAATGTAGCAGAAGAAAATACGGGAGATAACTCTAACGGTAGACAGACACCTCGGCCCAGCGACACCTCGGCCCGTCATGTTTGATACCTCGGCCCTGACAGGTCGGCCCAAAATTATTGACACCTCGGCCCATACTGAAGACACCTCGGTCCAAGGGATTTTTTTTTTTAAAATTATTATTTGTATTCACTATGGTAATATAAATGTATGTATGTTTATAGTGACGATATGTATACGATAAACAGGAGCAGATAATTTCGAAATTTTTGAACGAATGACAGCATAGATGTTAGCCAAGGGTTTTCGGTCCGCTCTGCTCCCCATATGGGCTAGCGAAGATGCATAGATGTCAGCTGCTGTATCTATTGAGGGGTAGATAGGAGGTCCATTTATTTATATATTTATTTTGCTGCTTATGAAAATGCAACTTTATTCATTTCATAATGTTAAGAATTCTTTTACTAAAAAATCACTTTGTAGTAGGGGCGTATTGTACACTTAACTATATATAATAATTATATGTACAAACCAGTGCATAGAAGCATATATCCTGAGATATTCTGTCCTGATCAATGAGATGTCTTGATTCTTTTTTCTTTTTTTTAATTTATAAACTCAACTTAACCTCACAGATAGAAGTTACGTTAACCTGATAGATCTTCGTTGCATAATGGACATATTTCCCTAAACCAACCAAGGTAG